GTAGGCAGATAGTGGTTGATTGGGTATGGAGACTGCTTGGGTGCGTTGGGAGAGGAAAGATTGGAACCAAGAGATGGAACTATTGGAGAAAGATAATGATTTTAGTTTGTTGAAGAGGATTGATGGAATCGAAGGCTTTGGAGAAGTCGAGAAGTATAAGGACAGTTAATTTTCTATCATCTATTGCAGATTGAATGTTGTTGGTAATTTTAATTAAGGCAGATTGTGTGGAGTAGCCGGGACGGAAACCAGATTGGAGAGGATCAAATTGGTTGGACTTTTCGAGGAACTTGGAGACTTGGGATTGCACCAGTCTTTCAAGAGGCTTTGAGAGGTTAGAAAGAATTGAAATTGGACGGAAATCTTCGGGTGAGGATGGGTTTGGCTTTTTATTTAAAGGAAGAACAATGGCTTTTTTTCCAAGAGGTAGGGAATACTGAATTCTGAAGGGAGAAATTGTAGATAAAAAGGAGAGCTGGGAGGATTTCAGGGAGACATATTTTTATTAATTTGACAGGGATGCCGTCTGGCCCTATGGAATCGGTGTGGGATTTCATTACCGCGGTTAACAGGTCTGTGGGAGAAATGTCGGAAAAATAAAAGTTATTGTCGTTAAAGGATATCTCTGGAGAAAAGCCGGAAGAGGAAGGTAGAGAAGAGGTATTAGCGACAGATATAAAATAAGAGTTTAAATCATCGGAGGATACAGGAAAGGCTGTGGTAGGGGATCTGGAAGGATTACAAATGCAGTTGTCATTTCGATTTGATATCAGGAGCTGAGGAAAGGATTTCATGGAAGTAGGAAGCTTTCGCACGCCGGATCCTTGTCTGTGCCAAGTTGCGAAGCACCCTGAACGCTTGGTAGTCATCTGCAAGCCTAGTACGTCTAAAACGTCTTCTTGCAGCGTCGCGCCTCTTCTGCAAATCTTTGATTTCCTGACACATCCAAGGAGCAGGCTGGTGACAAAAGGTAGAGGTTTTGAGGGGAGCATGGGTATTGAGAATATGATTGGTGGTAACAATGTCAACCATGGAGTCGATAGACGAGCAAGAATATATTCCATTCCAATCTAGGGTTTCTAGGTCAGGTAATATTTTTTCTCGAGTAAGGGTATCTAGGTGAGGGAAGGTGATAGTTCGAGGCTGGATTGAAGGAATTCGGATATTATATGTTATTTGTATAAGATCGTGAGATGATAGGAATGATACTGGCAATTGAGAAGAGGAGAGGAGATTTTGTGCTGAGTCTATAATGTAGAAGTCTAGCCAAGTGTCGGACCTACTGGTGTGGTGGGTGGGGGCAAATGGAACGATGAAGAGGTGCAGAGAGAAAATTAGGTTTTCTAGATAGGATTTGTCATTGGAGTTAGAGAGGAAATTGGTATTGAGGTCACCGAGGAAATTGGTATTGAGGTCACCGGAGATGATTATTCTGGGATATAGAGGAACGAAGTTGAATAGGGTTGATTCAAAGGACTGATCAAATGGAACATGGGGAGGACGATATACCACAGTGTAAAGGAGAGGAAGATCCTTACAATGGATTTCTACTAGAAGGTATTCAACTTCAGGATGATCGGAGGGTGGTGAGGAATCGAGGATTTGGGTCTTCAGGCTATTATGGACAAACATGGCTACTGCTCCGCCATTCCGGTTTACCCGGTCATGACGGAGGAGGGTGTGATTAGGCAAGGAAACAGAAGAGGATGGGATGTAAGGTTTAAGCCAAGTTTTAGAGATTGCGATAATATGATAAAAGTTTTGAGTGAAATATTGCAGGAACTCGTCATAGTGGGCAGGAAGGGATTGAGAGTTAACATGACAGGTGATTATTGTATTAGTCATGAGAGGAATTGGGAAGGAAACAGTTTGAGTTTGGTAGAGAAACTCTAAAACAAATTTTTGTGTTGCAATAGTGAGTAGTGACTTACTCTCTTCATCTACAACCACTCGTTGATAAGCATGTGACAAATCTATTTTTGCAAAAACCTTACGCCCTTGAATTTTGTGGAATAAATCCTCTACTCATGGGAGAGGATGCTGATTGATTTCAAGGTATGGGTTTAAAGTCAGTTTATAATCACCACAGATCCACACTGTTCCTCCTTTCTTCAGTACTGAAACAATTGGTGAACCCCATGAACTATAGTTAATAGATATCAGAATATCTTCCTGCACTAATCTTTCAAATTCAGCATCTACTTTAGCCCTCATGGCAAAAGGGACAAGCCTTGCTTTTATGAACTTAGGTTTGACAACCGATTTTAATTCTAATGTTATCGTACCACCTATAAAAGCTTCAAGCCGATCAGAAAACACCTTTGGATAACAATGTATGGCTTCATCCCTCAAAGTTGATTCCTCATTACTAAAAAATAAAGGTTTTGCCTCATAGCTATTCATAATTTTAAATCCAAGTTCCTCAAACCATGTTTGTCCAAGAACCATCCGACCATCGATTCCACCCCATACAATTCCAGACGTGAGTATATGCGGCCGTTATACTTCACATCCACGTTTAAACTGCCAGGAGGTGTCCACCTTTCCTGAAAATATGAAACAAAAGTCTTCTTTGAAGCTCCCAATTTTAAGCCAGGCAGTTTTTTCTTAAAAAATTTAAGAGGAAAAATAGTACTTGAACAACCAGTTTCTACCTGAAATACTATATCAACCTGGTTGATTTTTAGGTTCACCTGATATCCTGATTCCTTAGGAGAACTGTCAATTTTATATAGGCATTCGAAATCAGAAGATACATCTTCCTCTTTATAGTGTGATCTTTCTTTCGACCCTCGGTTGTTCGGTTGCCTTCAGTCCAACTTACACATACGAGCTAGATGGCCTATTTTCTGGCAATTATTCCCAGGCATATTCTCTAAAACGGCATTTGTCAGGGTCATGACCCGCTTAACCACAAATGCTACGTTTGTTTGGATATCTTTTATTAGTTTGTCCCCTAGAGACTGATGGTCTATCTTTTTCTCTACTTACAAAGTGCGCAGGTTCCTTTTTAACTGCTATATCTAAATTATACTGCCTAAATGTAGCCTCTTTTGCAGCAGCTATTTCTATAGCCCTACACAGTGAAATATTCATAGGATTTTCTTCAAACAGCCGATCCCTTATCGGACCTTTATTCATACCTATAACATAATAAAATCAAGATAATTGTTGAAACCACAATGGGAAGCCAGGTCCTGAATGCAGGCTACCTATTCATTTATTGATTCAGTATCTTCCATAGCTGCATCGTAGAATCTTTAATGGGCTCCAAAAAGTGATTCATACAGTACAAAATATTCATCAAATAATTTTAAAAGTTCTGAAAAGGTTTAACCTTTTTGTTCCTTGGGAATACTTAATGTCGTTATAAGCTTAAAAGCTTCATCATCTAACAAATTAAGAAATAAATCGTGCCTTTGTGTTTCGTTTTGGGTACTATTTGCATCGAAAAATCTTTCCATCCGTGGCTTATATAGAGCCCAGTTCATATTAAGGAAAATTCTCTGAGTACCCCTATGATTGGCAACATAACTGTCTCTGTGGGCTTTACTGACGATTTATCAGGAGGTGACATAATAGTAAATAGTGTTCACTTACTTTCAGGATTAATCCTCGTCGCCAATGTAATGTATTACTGACTTCACTGTAAATCAAACACAGACAATTTCCATTTATTGTTCCTGATTACATTTGTGTTCTTAATAACTAAAAAAAACATATGACTCATTACCAAAAAGATTAAATACTAAATCGATTTAGTATTTAACCCTTTAACAAAAGGTTAATATGCTGCAATATTTATCCTTTTCTTGCTGTATTTGTCAAGATTCAAGAAGAAGTAGATCGAATCAGTACCTCGGCATTAAATAGATTAAAGATTTAATGTTGCTAAAACTCAAACAATTTTCATTTGTTACAAACCCCTTCTTAGATCCAATACTAATTCTTCCACACTATTCTTAAATGACAATCTTATCATTTTCGTTCCTTAGTTAAAAACTTATACTTTATTATTGACCAAACGCTCTTCTGGAATCACCATATTGCCCACATATCTTGACAATTAATTTTGACTCTCAAATTATTCCATCGGATCTGCTATTTTCTACTCATACCTACGAATAGACGTTTTTCTCATGTCTTCCATCATATTAAGTACAGCTAAGTGGTGTACGGTGTACGGCAGACTTAAGAAACTTCTGAATAGCTTTGTCAGGTTTGTTAATAGGAATCTTCCTGTCTTTCCGTAGAGAATATTTTCTCGGCACATTGTTTTACCAAATAATCAACAACCATCGCCATATCTGCACTGGTTTATGCGTACAATCTCCTACTATTCTAGTCATCCATTCTTTCCCCTACCACAATACCTCAACCCTCTGAACTTTATGTCCCTTTTTACAGCTTTGCTCCATTTCAACATTCCTTTGTTGCCCACTTACTACATTCTGGAACCCTCTCGCTCATGCTCCTGACTTATTACTTGGTCTTCTTTGTCTTTTCTTTTCTTCCCCTTCATACCTCCTTCATTCTCTCAGAATGTTATGTCATTTTCTCCTCCAACCACTTCTTCCCCACATTTCTGCTTTCTTTCCTCTGAACTAAAAGGACACTCATTTTGTTACCCTATTTCCGGAATTTAACATTATTCAAACAATGCTCACTTGTTATCTCCAGTTTATTATTTAATAGATTAAGAGGTTTTATCAACCTTTTAGATGAAACTTATTGTATTTTCTTTTTTGGAGCAAATATGTTTTTTCTTTTTATTTATTCAATTCTATATGTCTTTTAGTCAGAAATAATCTTAATTTTTCTGTATACAGCTATTATTCTTAAGAGACATTGTCTCAGAACAAAGTTATTTTTTTATTCTATTCTAATGTTTGTATATATATATATATAGTTAGTATTTTATAAAATATTGTCATTTTGTGTTGACTTTTTTAATGTATTTTTTCTTCATACTGATTAGGTATATATTTCTAAAATTTTAGGTCGTCCTGGGGGTGGGGCAAGAGGAATAATTGAACAGTTGGAAGGAGCTGGTGAAACAGGAGAGGGTGCAGCCATGCTGGGTCTACCTCAAACTTCTGCTGAATTAGACGTACGATTAGTAATAACTAAATTAGTAGTAATCACTAAATTATTAGTAATAACTAAATATTATAATATGATATTGTATTTATAATTACTGAATTATTAATAATAACTAAATAACTTCCTCTTGTATTTTATTGTTTTTATTTCATAAATATATATTACGAAGTATACAGCCATCTGAAAAACAATTCAAGACATAAGATTTTTTTGACTTAATCTTTGACATTTTAAGTTACATACATTTTTTTTAAAGGGTCATTCCATCCCAAATTATCCAGGTGCAATCACTGCATACATTGATCTAGGCTTTCACTTATTTGATTCTATAAACTGTTCTTGGCATATCTGATATGTATTCCAATGGTCCCACCTAACTTTCTCTTATATTTTTTTAGTCTTGTTTATTGATTGATGAGTATGCTGTGTTATTCAGTAACTCAACACAGTTGAGCAGCCATGCAGTGTTATTGTATTTCTCTCTCTCTTCAAATTTTTTGTTGATAAACTCTGACGATGTAAAGAGCCCGAAACGTTAGACAAATGAAATAAATACGATTATACGGAAGAGAGAGACTTTTTTATAATATTTATACCTAAATCCACATTTTAATTTTTGACGAGAGACTAGATTTTACTTTCAGTATTATTAACTTTTTTTTAAATAATAATGAAATTACCACAAATCCAGAAGGTATATTGAAGGGCAGAATAAATAAGTGAGAATTCAAGTCAAAACAATAAAAATATACGTCTTTTTAACAAAACAGCTTATTCCAGGAAGTTAGAGTTTTATTATCCAATACTTTAGACATGTTCTATTCCAAGAATATTTCCCACTTGTGTTTACTTCTTTCTTTTATGTCATTAAATTCGATTTTTGCTTGTTATAGAATTATTTACCTTCTTCATATTTTTATCTCTGGAATTATGAATTTAATTTAGAGAGTATAGCAAACTAAAAAAAAAAAAAATATATTAACACACAAATATACATTTTTATCTATAAATTATCTAATTTATCAAAAAATGTGTAATTTAATGCCACAAAAATCATATTTTTCACATCTCTCGACGAACAATTTCCACCCTCAAACTATTCCATCGCTTCCACCATCTCCTACCTCAACATACGCGTAGACTTCTAGTTTCCTCTCTCATCTTTCCCCATTTTAACTACAGCTGTGTGGTGTATGATCTCTGTGGAGCTCCTTGATAGACTGAAAAGAATAATGAACAGCTGCATAAGATTTGTAATTGGGGCCCCAAGATACTCCCATGTCTCTCACCACTACACTGAGTTAACGTGGCTCTTCACCTCCTTCCGAAGACAATATTTCCTAGGTATGATCCTATGTCAAATCATCAACAATCATTTTCATTCTTATACCTACAACCTTCTCCAATTCAAGTCCTCAGTCCATTCCCTTCCCACAAGATCTCGAGCTTCTGACCTTTACATCCCTTCTCACAGATCTGCCTCATTACAAAACTCCTTTATTGCTCGCTCTGTCAATTTCTGGAATTCTCTCCCTATGAAAACTCGCCATTCCCCCTCCATATCCACATTAAAAACTCTCCTATTCCAAAAACAGTCAGATAGTTGCTAACCATTTGACATTATACATATATTTCATTTCATTCATTATCAAGTATTAATGCTGTTCTTTGGTAGGGATAGTACAGGATTTTCCTTCTTTTGATGCCACTGAACGCATCTATTGTTTATTTATAACTATTATTTATTACACACCATTAAATTCTTACCTATCTTACGTTATGAAATGATAATGATGTATTTATGTATTATTCAGCATATAAGTACTCATGCACTTTATATTGTCAGATTCAGCTTTCTTTTTTCATATTTTAATACACAGAGCTTATTTCAAAGAAGAATTTCATGTATTTTAATTTTTCTTTATTTGTTCCTAAAAGTGTATATTTATACTGTTTTATCACTGTAAATAGTTTTAAGTGTATTGTCATAGTTGTAAGTGTTTTTTATGTAGTTTTATTTGTTTATTATATAGCATGTTTACCTAACATTTTCTTTACTTTTTCTTTTTTTCTATGGTTTTTATATAAGCCAGATGTAATCTAATTTTGTTCTATTTTGTAATTTTCAAGGGACTTTGTCCCAGAATAAAGTTATTTTCTATATATATATATATACGGGTTTAGACATGTAAAAAACAAAATTGATAATGTGGGCCACCAAGGGAAAAATTTTTACAGGCAAAAAAAGTTAGATTTTTTTGATATTTTATTTTGTTTTTTCACCTAGAACTCCTAAATGGATAAACGAACTTAGTGAAAAATGTTCTATTTAATAACTTAAAAATCGTTTAATTGTGCAGCGTAGGAGTACTTAAACCTAATAATTTGGTTAAGTGGTATGGTAGAAACCCACGGTCAATCAACGGTGATTTTTGCCAAATTTGTCAAAAACCAAGTCAAATTAGTATAAATGGCCCTATAGCTTTTTTTTTTTTTTTTTTGTTCTTCCCTACCTCGCCTTTTAGGCTATACGGGATTTTCCCGGGGCGGGGGGTGAGGGCGGGGAATTTAAAATCCCCTCCGGCACCGGGACGCGAACTCGTACTTTTTATATCATCTCAAATCTCTGTTATCCGGTTGCCAGGCAACTAGCGGTGCTGTTACACACGCTTTAGCCTATTCGGTCTATTAGCTTGGAAATGAATTCTATATGAGGGAAAACCCATAGAATCAAAGTTGTAGAGCATCAAATTTTGCGTCCTTTTACATAAATTCTCCCTTGTCAATCTGGTTTCCACCTACTCCAATTTAATCATCTCAGATGATTTTAATGTAAATATGCTCTCAGAATCTCCTGAAAAATACTTCCTTACTGATCTGATATTTTTCCTTAATCTCTATCTGATTCCTTATTCTCCCTCTCATCACACGAAATTTTCCCAATTTTCCATTTTCTCTTCTCAACATCCCGTTCTATTTCTTTCATCTCTTGATCTAATCCAAATTACATACGACCTACCTGTGAAATCCTTTACTCCAAAAGTAGTTTCATACTGCAATTTAAACCTCTTTTCCTATGAATCCCTTCAACCCAATCCAATGGGATACCGTATATTCCTTCAATTCCATTGATCCTATGGTGTCTACCTCATGCTCCTCTTAAAACCAGAACCTTAAGCCGTCCCACTGATCCTTGGCTGACCCTTGAAGCAAATGATAAAAATAAGAGACGCAGCAAGACACAAATATCTCTTTGCTAAACCTCTTTGCCTGTTGACTACTTGTCTTTTAAAGAACTTCGCAATCAAACTCAATCCGCAGTCCAACTTGCTAAATCCATCCACTTCCACAATGCTCTTTCCTATCCTCCTTATTCCAAATCCAAATGGAAAATACTTAGTAATCTATCCCTACCAGAATCCAATAATCACAATTCCTTTCCTGTGGCTCCAGATGACCTCACTGATCACTTCTCATCGTTCTCTTACTTACGATATCGAACATCACAATTTCAATCCGGAAGACTTCTTTTTCTTCCATGTGTCCTACGATGAACTACTCTCTACTCTCCTAAAATCCCATACCAATGATTATTGCCCTGATAATATTCCAGTATAACTAATAAAATCCAGCCTTCCTGTACTTTACCATATTTACAACTTCTCATTGCAAAACTCCATATTCCCATCGTTCTGGAAAACTGTTCTAATCCAACCTTTAAATAAAACTTCAAACCCTTCCATACTTCATGACTTCCATCCTATTTCTCTCCTTTCGAACCTTTCAAAACGGCTGGAATGCCTTGGCCAAAATCAACTTTTCAACTTCCTAGTAGAACATTCCCTGATCAACCCTCTCCAATCTGGCTTTCCCCCTGGCCTATCAACACAATCTTCACTTCTAAAAATAACCCATGACCTCCAAAACTCCATTGAACACCAAAAACTTACTATCCTCATCCTCTTAGATTTTTCCGAAGCATTTGACACAGTTGACCATAGCATCCTCCTTACTAAACTACAAAATCTTCCTATATCCAACAGTGTCGTCCTGCGTTGATTCAAATCCTTCCTTTCTGACCGATCCCAGTATGTAGTCAACCTCCTTCTAAAACACTTCCCCTCTCCTGTGGTGTCCCTCAGGGTTCCTCCCTATCTCCTACTCTGTTTGCTATTTACATTAATGACCTTCCTTTTCTGATCCATCACTCAAAACACCATATTAATGCAGATGATTTCCAGATATGCCTGTCCTTTCCTCCTTCTGACCTATTCGCAGCCACCAAAAAACTTCAAGACTACTTAAACAGAATTTGTGACTGGGCGGAAGCTAACGAGTTGAAGTTGAATGCGGAGAAGACCAAGGCAATTTTGACAGGCTCCAATCAACTCCTTAAAACTGTTCCTAAAATTCCGACCTTGCTCCTACATCATAATCCTATCAACTTTTATCCCACCGTTAAGAACCTTGAAATAACCTTTGATCAGATCCTTTAGTGGAAAGACCATGTATCCAATATCTCCCGTCATGTCTTTTCCATTTTAAAACGTCTAAACTACCTCTGCCACCTATTTCCATTTAAAACCTGTAAACTCTTGATCACCGTTTTATAAATTGCTTTGTACGATTCATCTTTGGGGTCCCAAGGGATGCCTCTGTCTCCCGTTTTTATGAAGAGCTGAAGTGGCTTTATCCTTCCTAGCATCGTAAGTTCTTCCTAGCTTGCTTCCTCTTCCAAGTCATCCAATCCCATCGTCCTTCGTACATCTCCGAACTCTTTCAATTCAAATCCTCTGTTTACTCCTGTAAAATCCGTTCCCGGTCTTAGGATTTGCTTAAAACGTCTAAATTACCTCTGCCACCTATTTCCTTTTAAAACCCGTAAACTCTTGATCACTTCCTTAATATTTTCCCACTTTGGCTATTGCTGCCACGGTATATGGGGTAACATAAAGAGCCCACCGAACCGCTGCTTTCGACAGATCTTTCATTATCCGATCCTCGTCCCTATGGAATTCTTTCCTTTCCTGCATCCGTCGCTCCAGTTACTTCCCCACCTTTAAATCTCGCCTATTCAATCACCTCCTATCTGTTCAGTCAGTTGTAGATATGTATATAAATTCTAATGTCGTTTGTAAATATTTGTATTTAAATTTGTTTTATTTTTGTTTTTTTAATTGAGAAGTTAGAAGACAACTTATACATTTTTATTTATGATGTCTATTTGTTTTATGTTTTTGTGATAATTCTCTGAGGCTCCCAGGCCTGCATTTCTGTCTCTGTATATTATTCTAAAGGGGCTTGTCCCAGAATAAATAAAGTGTTATTATTATTATTATTGAATCCATACATCAATATAATTTATTTATTTTTACTTGTGACTGCTCATCCCAACCAACTCCTCTTCATTATATTCACGACAGACAACTATTAATCCACTATAATAAATCTATTGTAGAATAATAATTTAGGAAAATTGGATTTATATGTTTTAAAATTAACTGTTGGTTTTTTACTTAATTAAATTATGAATTTTTTGTTATAGAACTTAATTTTGAATTTTCAATTAAGTTAAAATTTTTTTTTTTTATAGAACTTGACTGAGTTTAATACTGCCCACAACAGACGGATATCCATGTTAGGAATCGGATCTGCTGAAGCAGAGGCTGCTGTCAGACCAAAGAGAAGACGGCGATCGGTCACATTTTCAGAAGAAGAGGAAGTAATTAATCCTGAGGATGTTGACCCTTCTGTAGGAAGGTTTAGAGATATGGTTCACACAACTGTTATTCCAACCAAGGTAGGTAATGTAATTTGTCTATTTTTAAATCATAGTGTTTCTTTACATAGAGCAGGAGTCCCCAACCCAGAGCTCATGGGCACCAGTGTGCCCGTGTGACATCATGTGCCCTAACGAGCAACATTGTTCCCGCCTATCCTAACCTGTAACTGCCAGTAATTCCATAGTATTATTGTTCAACAAATTGTCATCCATTTTTCAAGAACTGAAACTAAATTAAAAGTTTGGTAATGTTGTACTCAAGTACCTCTCTAATCACTAGTTAGGTAATCATATGATCATCTCTTATTTTATTGTTTTAGATTATCATGTTCTAATGATAATCTGCAAATAATGAAGCCCTAACTGATGAAATTCAGTCCAAACATATTTTGTTTCGTCTGGTAAGCTGTCTTCAAACCATTTTTTCCAACCATGCTTTTTGAATGTTGTCCAAAGTCAGCCATGCAGAAAGCATGGTTGTATAAAACGGCTTGAAGATGGCTTACTGGCCGAAACGTAGCTATGTAAATTGAAATAAATATGGTGAAAAAATAAAAAACAGCCTTCTTTTATAATATTAAAATTATGCCTCCCTGTCCAATGCCTCCTTAAAATTATGAAGTCTTTCCTGTCCTTCTTTGCATCTATAATTATAATCTATAATGCCTCCAGAACTCAGTTTTTCCTACTTCTTGGAAAAAAGTGTTAGTCAGGCCTATTAACAAAATCCCCAATCCTACTTTTCCTAAAGACTACCGCCCAATCTCCATTCTCTCAAACCTTTCCAAATCTCTGGAAAGAATAGCTCAATCCCAAATCTACAAATTCCTTGAAAACTAGAAAGTACTCAATCTTCTCCAATCTGGTTTTCGTCCTGGCTTCTCCACACAATCCGCTCTACCAAATATTAACAATGACTTACATACTCCAATGGACGAAAAAATGCTAGCTGTTTTAATACTCTTGACTTTTCCAAATCTTTTGATTCCTTAGACCACTCTATACTCTTCACTAAATTAAAATTTCTATCCTTCTCTAACAGCTCTATTCTTTGGTTTTAGTCTTTCCTTTCTGACCGGACTCAAGCAGTTAGCATTTCAAACCAACACTTATCTTCCTTCCTTACGCTGTTCTCTGGATTGGTCCAGGGTTCGAGTATTACTCCTCTCCTTTTTAATTCCTATATAAATGATCTTTCCAAATCCATCTACCACTGTTCACACCATTTGTACGCTGATGACTCCCAAATCTATTTATCCTTTCCCCCTTCTAAGCTATTAGCCGTGTTCGCCAATATTCAGGTAGACCTAGATATGATCAGTGCCTGGGGAAATCTGAATAATTTAAGGCTGAACGCAATGAAAGTTCCAATTCTCTTCTTAAATCCAACTCCTGCCTATCTCCTTAAGTCATCAACAATCATCCCATCACATTCAGCTCCTCTGTTAAAAACTTAGGAATCACTATTGACGAAAACCTCTCCTGAAAATCCCATATTGCCCTCATCTCCCGAAAGTCAATAGGTACCCTTAAATTAATTCATCACTTCCATCACCTACTCCTACAACCTATCCAAAAGCTCCTTGTATGCTCTCTTATTTTCCACCACTATGACTATGGCTGTGTGGTGTACAGAGGCATCCCGTTGGTACTCGAGGATAGATTGAACTCTTATGAACTCCTTAAGATTTGTGTCAGTATGTCGAGGCAGTCTCATGTGCCCCATGACGAGTTAAAGTGGCTCTTCCCTTCTTACCTGTTCAGAACGATCAACACCCGACACCCTTCCTACATCTATAGTCTCTTACAGTTCAAACCCGTGGTCCACTCCCAGAAAACGGGATCCCGTGTTTCCGACCTTTATACTCCTTCCCATAGAACTAAGACATTTAAATATTCCTATATTACCCGATCCACTGCCTTATGGAATTCCTTGTCATCTGATATTCGACAACTAAGGACTAAGGACCAATATCTCCCCCTAATTTATTTATGATTATTAAAAGATCTTAGCATATAACACAGTAGAACCACCAAAGGTACTTAAATTAAATATTACTATACTTTCTTTCAGAGGAATCGTTTTGATGGAATAGGCCCTACTTCAGGATTGACTCATGAAGAAGTAAAGTTTGTGCATCTTAAACATTTCTCACACCCAACAGCCCAACTTTATACTGATCTTCCACATCCAGGTATATTTTTTTTCTTATTTGCTAAATAATTGTAAATTATTCTACTGTAAATGACTTGTTTGTTACAATTTAACCTTTTTAGGACTCTTTTAAGTATACCTGATTGCAAAAATCTATTTTCAATAATTATCTTATTTTGTGAGCTATGCTTTATTACTGGGTGGGAAAATGTTTTAGCTTGTGGGACAGTTTGTGAAATCAGAGATTAGAGAAGGGCCACACCTTTTAAAATTATCACAATTATTTCATAATCTCTGATTATTTAATGTAATAATCATTTTGTTTTTCAGAAAAAGTAAAATCAATAACCATAGATTCAATTTAATAGTGGCAGTTTTATTATATTTCTTTATTGCGCTTATAGTCCCTGCACAATATGTTGGAACGAAAAATACTTTTTCGTGGACAACTTTTAAGAAGAAGAAGAAAGTAAATTTTTTTCTGGGACATTTAGTCCCCTAAGAATAACTACAGTGAACAAAAAAATTACAATTGTCTGGTACTATAAGAAAATAAAAAATAATTATTTAATATAACATAATGATGCAACCTTAAAATTAAAATAAATTAAGTGCAAGTAAACATATTAATTTGCACATAAATATATATATGTGTGTTCACATATTTGTTCTGATTAACAATATTGTTAATATATGAATAATAGTCTTAAATACTAAATTTTGTTGTTACGTGTATTCGGAAGATTGATTGCTTAGGAGGTGGAAGAATAATTGTTGTTTAAATGTGGTTATGGAACAGGATTTGCGTATGGAGGCAGGTAATGAATTCCAGAAAAAGTTGGCATGCATGACAAAGGATTTTTTAAAGGAAACGGTTCTATGAGAGCGAATAAATAGATTTATGGACTCGCATCTTGTGTTAAATGAATGAACAGAGGAACAAGGAGTAAACAAATCAAGGAGGTAAGATCGCTTTTTGGTTGTAAAGGTTTGGAAAAGGAATATACCTAGGAAATATTGCCGCTGTAGAACTGGGTAGAGCCCTTTTAACTCAGCATACCAACTGGAGACGTGGGAGTGCGCCTGGGGACTCCAAAGATGAATTGAATGAAACAATTCATTAATCTCTTCAATCTGATCTCAAGCCCACCAGACAGTCCACAATATACAATGCACTTTCTAATAGCATTTAAAAGCTACCTTTTTCCTTCAATAAAAATACTACAAAACTTGTTATGTCACTGAAAAGAATCTCTGTTTTTATATCCTGAGGTTCAGCAAGGGAAGCTGAAATATAAGGATTTTGTACAAAAAGTTTTAATTTTTTTTTTTCTACGTTAATTTTACATTATTTTGATCAAATGTTTTTAATAGCTATCAATTGACTCTAGAAAGACATGGCAATAGAGAAAACATATGTAAAGAAGAAGAAATTCCTTCAGAAAAAGAAGAAATAATTATGACTTTAAAGAACAACAAATCACCGGGAGTGGATGAAATACCAGCTAAGCTACTAAAGAATGGAGGAGAAAAATTAATTAAGCAGTTCTAGGATCTCATATATATGATCTGGCTGCAGAAAACCATACCTGAAGAATGGAACACTGCAATTCTGTGTCCAATTTTTAAAAAAGGGGACACTGAATTGTGATAACTATAGAGTAATAGCTCTGCTCCCAACTGGATATGAAGTCCTTTCAATTGCTATTAGTAAGAAGCTAGCGTCAAAAAGAATTAAAGGTCAGAATTTAATTGGTAATAAGTGTTTCTTTGCCCTGGTCAAAATACTAAAATCTTAGGAACTGACATGGAATGCAACAGCAACAATTTATAAAACCATATGGCCAGTCATTACCTATGTGTGTGAAACATGGATTTGGTCACAGGAAAATGAGAGGTTGCTAAAAATTTGGGAGAGAAAAGTCCTAAGGAAAATATATGGTTTGAAGAAAATAAATGACCTGCAGTGAATACAAAAAACACATAACTTTCACTTACCGCTCAACTTTCAATAGAAATGATTTTCTGGCCATGTTAGGCTATTATAAAAATTTTTAATAGCATTTTTAACAAAGTTAAAAACAGTTTAGGTGTTCTAAATTTATGTTAATTGTTCAAAATGTTAATTTAGATTCCTTAATTTATTAATTTGGACAAATTAAAAGTGAAATTCCTTTTTATTTACTTTCAAATTGTTATTTAAACACAGTTTTTAAAATAATAATTTCTAAAACAACTGATGTGGGGAGGTTATGGACGTAGGGTCATTGATTTGAATGGTACTTTTTTTGGTGATACTGTAAATATTAGACCCATATCAGAGGCTTTCTACCAATGTTCCCTAGAAGCAGATAAAAAATATTTCATAAATTTTTTATCTTGTTTTTTTTTCCTTTGCTCTGCATGGATTTTTATGAATCCTATTTAAGGAAAATACTAGAGAAACCATTCCTTGTTCAATTTGACTGTATTTAACTTCTGCTGAGTTTATAGTTTCAAGGATTTTTCTTTCCTTAGTAATTCTCAGAGGGGTACAGTAACTTCTAGGAAAGTAGGAATAGATTTGCTAATAAAATTCAAAACTTGATGAAAGTTTGAAGCTCTTTTACATTGGTAGGATTTTCTATTTCTTTTATTGCCTTAATCTTCAACGGGTCTGGACAAATACCTTCAGTGGAAAAAATAAGATCCATATATTGAACCTCATTTAGTTTATATTGGAGTTGATTTTTGTTAAATGTTATGACATACTATTTTCCCAGGATGGCTTTAACAGTTTCCTTTGATCATGATAATCTTCGGTTTCACCTCTCATAACAATGTCATCAAAAAGAATTTGTACTCCTTCAATGTCACCAAAAAGTTTTATTTTATTCATACAAAATATGTCAAGAAAACCAGTATATATGGCATTCTTCGATAAGTATATCAACCAAAAGGAGGGGTTATGACACATAATTTAGTGAAGTTCTCATCTAACTCAAAATTATGGAAAACTTCCGTCATATCAAGAACAGTGAAGTACTTCTTACTACTCAGATTTGATATTAACTTTTCCTGGATTGGGATGCTAAAGTGCTGTCTTACGAGCTTTTTATTTAAAGGTATAAGATTAAAGCGTAGTCTTAGCGAGGTACCGTGCCTTTTCACTAAGACAAAATCATGGACCTATTCAGTTGGTTCTTCTGTTATTTCTATGATTCCCAACTTCTCCAGATGATCAATTTCACTCTTTAATTTTTTGTTTAAGTTTTCTGGAAAACATCTAGCTGGTTTAACTGTTTGAACAGCATCATCTCATAATTTTATTTTTTTTAAATATATAAGATAGAAAAGACAAAGGTTACAATTCCAAAGAGGTGGCTATCTTACTTTATAGTAAGCAGTTATCATGAAACAATTTATTATAACTTTTATTATATGTTTTTTAAATATAATAGTAAAAGAAAGTATTGTGATTGTGAAAATTTTCGAATCTTAGTTTTCAATAGAAATACATGTTTTGAAATCTCCTGAGTCCAAATAACTAAGTCTTGCAAAATGGTTTGTGTGTGTGTGTGTGTGTGTATGTTGACAGTCTAGCACAAAAACAAAAAGTTGTACAAAAGTGAAATTGCATATTTTTTTTTTTTTTTATTTGTTTATTTAGAAATATTACATTCTGTCACATCAAGGACATTGATAATAGTGTTCAGAGAAAGCACACTCACACTCTATTTACAATAAATAAAAAAAAAAAATAATACAGAAACTTAATAATAATAAATACAATAAATAAAATAAAAATAAATACAATAAAATAAAATAAATGTATATAAACAAAAGAACTAACCTAATCATACACACTCGGGCTTGAGTGGAGGATCTGGCCATTGCCAAAACTCCAATAGATGCTTATTTACAAAAGGTCTCTGGGCCACTGCCGCTTCAACCTTCGAGGAGGATTGTAAGGATGGGTGGTGCTGGATAGAGATTGTGCAAGGGGATTTGGATGATAGGTAAGGTTCTGGTGAAATTTGGAGAATTTTTCTGGAATAAGGTCTAGGACAAAAGGGATATTAAGGTCATGGTGTAGGATTTTGTTATTTACATAGAACGGAGCATCAACTATTGTTCGAAGGACTTTAGATTGAAAGGATTGAATACGTTTGATGTTAGAAGCTTTTGCTGTACCCCACAGTTCAAGTCCGTATGTCCATATAGGTTTCAGTATTGTCTTGTAGATAAGTAATTTGTTTTCAATAGAAAGTTTGGATTTTCTGTTTAGTAGTCTGTATAGCTGGCCGTATCGTCGGTTGAGTTCTTGTCTTTTGAGTCTAGTATGTGGGTTCCACGTCAGTCTTCGGTCTAAATGAAAGCCAAGATACCGGACTGTGTCTGAGTAAGGAAGCTGGATGGAATTAAAGTGTACTGGTGGACAGGAACTGCGTCGGAGTGTAAAGGTAATGTGTTGGCATTTAGATTCATTAACTTTAATGCGCCAGTTATTACACCAGTGCTCAATCAAGGTGAGGTGGTTTTGGAGATTTAAGGATGCTTTGTTGGGATCTGAGTCGGATGATAGAATAGCGGTGTCATCAGCAAAAGTTGCCAGGAAGGTATCGGGATGGACAGGGATATCGGCGGTAAAGAGGATGTAAAGGACGGGACCCAATACGCTACCTTGAGGAACACCTGCCTCAATTGGATAGCAATGCGAAAATTCAGTACCGCAACGAACTCGGAAGGTACGATCTGAGAGGTAGGAACGGAGAACAAGGTACAAGGACTGAGGAAGATAGTTTTTCAGCTTGGAAAGAAGCCCGGCGTGCCATACCCGGTCGAAAGCTTGAGCTATGTCCAGAAATGCACCCGAGCAATATTGCTTGCTTTCCAATGCTGCGGAAATATGATCAACCACTCGGAGTCCTTGTTGGACTGTAGAGTGTTGTGAACGAAATCCGAACTGATGGGAAGGAAGAGTTTGGGATTCTATAAAGGGTAGGATGCGTTTTAGGAGGATCTTTTCAAAGATTTTTGAGAGAATAGGAAGAAGGCTAA